CTTTGCGAGGGACTGGGTGACCGTGTCCAGCTGGGCGGGCCCGTCGTAGGAGCGGCCGGCCATAAAATTGAGGGACTCGATAGCGTGGTTGGCGAGCCTAGCACTGTGCTGAAGCCGCTGACGCCGTCGCTGAATAGCCCGGGAGCCGCCAGGCAGGCTGGCGGGCACGACGAGCGGGGAGAGAGGGAAAATGTCACGCTGACGACTGGCCACCATGTTGGGCCAGGAGCGAGGGGCCTGCACTGGGAGCTCCCGCGCGCGGCCGGGGCGCGGGCAGCAGCCTTGTCCTGTCGAGAGGCCCCGCGGCTCACGAGCCGCTGCCGCGGCCCGGCCGTGGCCCCCGGCCCGGCGGCGGCCTCGCGAGAGCCCTCTCCTCCCGCGCCTTGCGGCGCTCCTTGGCCACGGCGTTCTCGGCGGCGACCTGCTCAGAAATCCACTTTGCCAGAGCCGGACACACCATGATCCCGCGAGTGTTCTGCAGCCCTGTGAAAAAGAAGCTCTCGTCATGCTGGCCATCGGAGCCCGACGACCCAAGCAGAACGTCTTTGAGCTTTTCCTCGCGCAATTGGATCTGGCGGCAGATGAGTTCGAGAGCGGCGATGTTGCTGGCGTCCAGCTGATCGTAGCACAGCGCGGTCTGGAAGATCTTTGACATCTCCGAGTGAAGCAGCATGACGGGATCGCCCAGCCCCAGGCGGCAGGCGGAGCGGAAAGCGATGTGGTGTCCGACCGCCGACCCGCCATTCTCGAGCATGTAGTTGGCACACCACAGGACCGTACACGGGCCAGGCACGACCCAGTCCGGCCAAGACTGCTGGCGCATGGCTCTGACCCCCTCGCGGAACTCCTTGTGACGCCGGCCCTCCTGGTCGTAGGAGACGGCCAGCGTGCGGAAGTCGTCCCCGGCAGCAGCTGGTGGAAGCCCAGCGCCCCCTGCGAGAGCAGCGTGGAGGCCTTCGTGCCCAGCCGCAGCGGCGGCGGCGGCCGCGCCGCCGCCCATGCCCCCTGCCGCGGGGGCCCCCGCTGCTGGGCCCAAGGCGGCTGCAGCGCCAGCAGCTCCAGCACCCGCTGCGACGTACGCTGGAGCAGGAGCCCCGGGAATGGGTGGAGGCGCCAGAGCACCAGCGAGGCCGACAGGCCCGGCTGCAGCGGCAGGTGCGATGGGCGCCGCTGCTGCAGCGGCAGCGGCGTGGCCCAGCCCGGCAGGCACGACGGCGTCGGCGCCCCCTGCGGCGGCCAAGGCGGCGTCGTGCTCGGCGACGAGCCTGAGGGCCGCAGGGCGCAGCCCGTGGTAGTCGGCGAGCGTGAGGGGCTGCGCGAAGTCGTACACGGGGATGCCTGCAGCCGCGGCCGGCGGGGGCCCCCCGCCAGGAGCCCTGCGATACCAGGCACGGATGTCCGTGTTGGCGGGCCCCATTAGGCGGGGCGAACAGGGCCATCCAGAAGGTGGGCCGTCGAAAGGGTGCATGGAACGGCTTTCGGGGAGGCGTTCCAAGATTTCTGGAACGCCTTTCCGCCCAGCGTTCGGAGCAGTTCGGTCGCCTCGGCCCACGGCCCGCTACCGCGTCGACATGGAGACACCTCGAAGCGGGATCAGGCCGCACGAGTGAAGCCAAATTGTCTGCGAGGGGCAGCCTTGGAATTGCTGTTCTGCCACCCTCTCTCCTTCTCGTCCTAGGTGTGCCCGTCGACCGCCGCGCCCTTTCTGTGGCGCCGAAGTGGCCACTTCGCCTGGTCTGCCCCGTGCACGCTCCCGTGCTGGCCCTCCCCCTGCCTCCGCCCACCGCGCAGCCCCTTGCCCCCTCCGCCGCCACCTCCCCTTTTCTCCCTTCACTCCCCTTTTCGCCCCGCGTCGTCGTCGTCGTCGTCGTCGTCGTCGTCGTCGCCCCGCGTCCCACACCAGTGTCGTTCAGCGCCTCACTGATGCTAGCCCGCTACTTACATCTGCCAACCGCGCCCATTTTCTCTCGCACTCTGCCTCCCTCATCCCTCCCCCCCCCCTCCCCCTCCCTTCCCCCAGCTCCCCTGTCCTATTTCGCCTTCCCCCGTCCCCTTCCCCTTCCCTCCCTCCATTTGCCCCTTTCTTCCAACCTCGTGCTCTCCCGCTCCCACCCCTCCCCATTCCCTCCGCCGCCAGCCCTTCCCGAACGCTGTTCCGGGAAGGCGCGCAGCCCTTCCCGAACGCTGTTCCGCGGAGGCCGAATGCAGGCCCCAAGTGGGCCATCCGTCCGGCTGATGCTCCGAGGCCCCAAGTGGGCCATCCACCCGGCTCCTGGAGGCCGCCCCCCCCGAGGCCCCAAGTGGGCCATCCATCCGGCTCATGCACGCCCCCGACCCTCGCACGCCCTGCGCGCAACCCCCTCGCCGCCCCCAGGCCCCAAGTGGGCCATCCACCCGGCTCATGGAACATCACACCGGGGCACCCAGTACCCCTGCACTGGTCCAGGGCCCCAAGTGGGCCATCCGTCCGGCTGATGCTCCGAGGCCCCAAGTGGGCCATCCACCCGGCTCATGGAACCCCTTCCCAGAGCTCCCTCGGAAAGGCGTTCCGCGCCTCGGGGGAAGGGTACTCGCGCGCCTGGCCGCCTTGGCTCCCGCGACCCAGGGCGCCCTTGCACCGATCCCAAACCACCCCGCCTCTCCCTCCCCTTCTCCTGCTCCCATGCCTCCCTCCACCCCTCCCTCCCGCCAGCATTCCTGCCCTCTCGCCCCGCACCTCGTCGTCCCTTTTCTCCCTTTTCGCCCCGCGTCGTCGTCGTCCTCCTCCTCCTCCTCCTCCTCCTCACATGTCCTCATCCTTCCGCCCCCCCTCCTTCCTCCTCCATCATCCTCCGCAATCCTGCTCCCGCCCTCCTCCCTCATCGTCCTCCATGCTCATCCTTATGAACCTCCTTTTCCTCCTCCTCCCTCATTCATCCCATTATCACCTCTCCCTCCTCCTCCTTCTCCTCCTTCTCCTCCTCCTCCCCTCCTCCTCCCCCTTTTTTTGACAACCCAACGTCGAGGCGAGTGCACCGCGTCTAGAAGGGCAGCAGTACAGGTGTGGAGGACACTGAGAAAACATGAAGGGAGAAGAGATCGAAAGCCAGTGGGACCATTAAATACGCAAGAGAAGTGGAGACAGTCGAGAGGGCCCAGGGCTGTCTAGCTGGCAGGAGCTGATTCCAGCAAAGATGGTTGAGGGACGAGGTGAAAGTGGACGGCCGAGCCATCCGCAATCCCAGCTGTGATTTCTCGCACCACCGCGCTTCCATCCACCCGATGAACGGCCCACTTGTTCATCCACCCCCTGGATGGCCCAGTTCGCCCCCTCCAACCCCAGCTCCTCCACGTACAGATCGTTGTCGGGAGTGACCACCACTGCGTGGAGGGGCTGAAGCTGAGAAACACCCACCACAGTGCGGCCGTGCAGCAACGGAGGGTCGACCGCATACTCGATGAACAGCTCATCACCCTCTATCATTTAATCACGCCCGAACCCCGCGGCTGCTGATGCGCTCGGCTGCCCGCAGGCAACACAGACGGCGCTGGCCGGGGCGCCGGTGGAGGCTGCTCCACCAGGGCGCGTCGGCAACACCCCAGCCCGGCAAGCAGCCACCGAAGCGCCTCCACGAGCAGCGGGCCCGCGAGCGACACTGCAAGCTGCTGCCCAGGCTCCTGCCCGGCCCCCGCCGAGCACTCCTGGAGCAAGGCGACGCACTCCTCGATGGAGGGCGGCCGCAGCTCCACGATCGGCTCCGCGCACGGCGGAGCAGGCTGGACCCAGGCGGCGCAGGCCTCGGCTGAGGGCGCCTCTGGCTCCAAGGGCGCCTCCGCAGCCGGCGGAGGATCGGGTGGTGGCGGCCCGCCACCAGAAGGCGCGAGCCCGCGCGAGGCTGGACCGAGGGCGAACCCGGCCAGGAGGAGGGCGATCGATGAAATCCAGGCCTCCTCTGGCCGCATCTCGAGAGAAAAGGCTACGGAGGCAGATAAAGATGACCTTATCCCGCAACTCCGAGATGGACATTGATGTCCAGCGGCACTCATTCTGCCCCAGGATTATAGTTCAAGAACGCCCATCATCATCATCATCATCATCATCATCATCATCATCATCATCATCATCATCATCATCATCATCATCATCATCATCACCAGCATCATCATCATCGTCAGCATCATCATCAGCAGCAGCAGCATCATCAGCATCCTCATCAGCAGCAGCCTCTTCATCACCATCAGCATCATCATAATCGTCATCATCATCATTATCATAAACAGCATCAACACATTCATCATCATCAACGTCAACAGCATCGGCAGCATCGCCATCATCATCAGCAGCAGCACCATCATCAGCAGCACCATCATCAGCATCATCATCAGCATCATCATCAGCAACAGCACCAGCAGCAGCAGCATCAGCATCGTTAGCAGTGTCGCCATCAGCCTCAGCATCATCAGCAGCATCACCATCTGCACCATCATCAGCAGCAACATCACCACCATCAACACCATCAGCATCCGTTTCACCAGCAGCATCATCACCATCATCATCAGCAGCATCATCATCAGCGCCATCATCAGCATCCTCGTCATCAGTCAGCATCAGCATCCGCATCGTCATCATCATCGTCAGCGTACTCATCACCATCATCAACATCATCATCAGCACCATCATCTCTAGCGTCACCACCATCATCATCAGCAACAGCATCAAGCTCATCATTATTCATCACCATCGTGATGAGCACCAACATCAGCATCGTGATCATCGCCATCATTATCAACAGTATCAGCATCATCAAGTTATTATGCTTCCCAGCTCAATGTCCACTCACACAATCCCTGGTACCCAGTACAAGAGATGCTGTCCAAGCCCACATCCATGCCCACTCATACAATCCCCGTTACCCAGTCCAACCCATATTCAACATGAAATGTATTCCTGAGTGGTCTGGTTTAGTAGCAAAGGCGATTGGCAAGGTCGGCTGCCTGGCCCGTCCCACAGCCATCCCCTCCAGACGCGCAGCGTAGTCCAGGTCCGTGGCGACCAGGGGGTACAGCTCGCAGAGCCTCTCAGAGCTCAGCCTGCTGAACGCCTCGTACGGCGGATCCTGGACTGGCGAGAGAAAGGGAGGAACAGGATGCTAGCAAGGAACATCCTCGCTGAGACAGCATACTTCAATACGAGGGGAGGTCGGATGACAACTGGGCAACGAAGAAAAACATCTTCCGAATGACGACGTCTTGACCCTACGCGTCGGTTGACGCATCCCGCGAACACAACACACCGCGCGACAACGAGGGCGCTTGCCGCACGACCGTAACGCATGCAAGACACCCGCGAATGTCCACGCACTCGACCCGTGTTACGTCGCTCAAGTGCATCCGCCACCGTGCCCCCTGGCACGTAGCGCAGTGGTAGAATAGTGCTGAGTCTGCCTGGCTCGGTCTCTGTGATTTCCTGAAGCGATCGAGGTGGGCACATCCCCTCATTCCAAGATACCCTGGGCTTCCCAAGCCCCAAGAGACCCCCAAGAGTCCCTGAATGTGGCCCTGACTGGCCAAAACACGCCGAGCACGCATACGATGGTTTTTCAACATGCCATGTCTACCGCCACTGTCCGTCTCAAAACACCAAAAGAGAAGCGGCTCCCAGGAGAGCCGAAGCGGGCCCAAAGTGGCTCCAAAACGGCACAAAGGGTCCATGAAGACGGCTCAAACGAAACAGCCAAGGACCTGCCCAACGCGCCCGCTGGACAGGTAGAGAAGAGGGCAGGAAGGCAACGTTGGCATGGGGAGAGGGGACAAGAGGGCAACAGGGTCATGAATCATCAGACGAGTGGACCGAAAACCAAACGACACCATCCAACCTACGACCCAACGATGTCGAAAGCTTGAGCACTTGCCCCGCGCAGCCTCTGCGTGGCAGCACGGAGGCCGAGGCATCTCCGCAGCGAGTGCGCGGCAGGGTCGCAACAACTCGACACGGCGGGTCGTAGGTGGGGCGGTGTCGTCTGGTTCTTGGTCGAACAACGGGGCGGGGCAGTGGCGTGAGGACCGCCCTGGTATGCCTGGACCTCTCCAGCGAGCGTAGGGTCCTCGAGCTCGGAAGCGACCTGGCAGACGACCTCCCTTTCCTGTCCCTTGAAGGTGAGCACCACGCAGCAACCGCCGGGCACCAGGACGTCCATGGCGCCCCTCAGTGCCTTCCGCAGCTGGTCCAGCTCGCTGTTCAAGAACATCCTTCGGTGGCAACTCCTGGGAGCCTCCTATACCATCTTGTCGGCTCTTGCGAATCGACGCTAATCGACGCTAGTCGACGCCAATCGACGCTACTCGACGCTACTCGACGCTAAATCGACGCTAATCGATTCCAACCGACGCTAAATCGGCGCTATCTCATCGACTCCCAGACTGTCATCGACGCTAGTTGACGCTAGAGACATCATTTACGCGGGTACACACAGCTCCCACGATTTGCTACCATAACGTCCGGATGGCATTCAGAAACACCTTCTCCGGAAACGCGCTGGAGTACCGCTGGAAGCCGATGCCCTTCCGAAGGGCCACGGCCAGCTCCTCGGCGGACGCGTAGGGCCCGCGCTCCGCCTGCGTGGCCAGCACCGCCTCGGCGGCCCGCTCGGCAATCAGCGGGTTGGCTCTCTCGCCGTACGTGTGCAGGACCCAGGACAGCTCCTGGACAGAGACGCTCTGGAGCCACTCGGACGCCGGGACGCCCTGCTTCCTGTTCATGCGCAGGTCGAGCGCCTCCGTGTCTGGCATCGCCTCGCCTCTGTGCCCGCGGGCTCGGAACGTGTCGGCCTGCGCGTTCGACACGCCGACGTCGAGCAGGATGCTCTGCACCCTCTCCCCGCCCAGGGCCTCTCGGACGCCCGGGCTCCGGGACAAATCGGCGGTGGACAAACCTCCCTTTAGTAGACCTCCCCTCAGTGAAAGCGGCCTGGGACCGCAACCGACGGACCTGGATCCGCAAAAATGACGGCCGCGACGCCCCCTCGCGAACCGAAAACGGCCAATTCTCTAATCGACGTGTCTGAAGGGGCCCCAGGACACACAAATAAATACACACAAATAAACAGATTCCTCATATTTTCCTATATTTTCGGGGTTTCTGTCTTCCCCCCACTGCCCACATTTTCCCAGATGTTCTGGGAAATCGAGGATTAATTGTGTGTCTGTGTGTTTTTCCCCCTGATAGTGTCCGGGTAGGAGCTCTGTCCACCCCCGAGGATCACTGCGATCTGGGGTATAGCTCCGGCACTCCGTGGCTACACTGTACCCCCGACCGACCCCAACCCTGCTAGCTCGGGAGGGTTGGACGCCCAAAGTACAGTCGGGGCGTTGACCTAAGGAACCCTAAATAAGGAACGAGGCCCCTTTTTTTTCCATAAGTTACACTTCGATTTCGTATCGAAAACCTAAGGAACATCCAAGGCAAGCTGCGAAAACACTTAAGGAACACGGAGCCCCTCCCCAACGAAAAGGGTTCCTTCTTCAGGGCCCCGACTGTATATCCGGGATCGCTGCGCTCCAAGAGATGAGCTCAGGTCTGTGCCCCCGAGGTGCGAACCTATATAGCTGCCCCTGACCACCCCCGGCCCGGATGCTTCGGAGCTCCGAAAGCCTCGGCCAGGTCTCCGAAGGGCCGGTGCAGGAGGCGGAAGCGCGGGTCCTCCTTCTCCAGCTCCCGCGCCACGGCCACGGCTGCGTGGTCCACGTCGAACGCCACGAGCCGGCCGCCGTCGCCCAGCCGGCTCAGGATGCCGGCCGCACGCAAGGAGTGACCCTGGGCAAGAGTGACACTTGGTGCGCGGGCGTTCGGGGGCCGCGGAGAGAGGCCAACGCCGAGCGCGCAAGACGCGGCTTTCGCATCGCGTTCGCGGAGACCTCTCCCGGAGTGCGTCCTGACTAGGACTTCGAGGCGAAGCCAGCGGCGGCGACGAGGGCCTCCGAGGGGAGGCCCAAAAAGGGAGAAAAGCGGGCGGGGAGGCAGAGGCATGGGCACCTCTCCCTCCTCCGAGTCACTCCGACGCAAGGCTACTCCTTACGTGCAGCCGAGGATGGACCTCGAGTGGCCGCCGCGCCCGAAGGTACCGTCCACGAAGAGCCCGTTCATGTCTGGTCGGGGAGACGTAAGACTCGGGTACGGGGGACGCGGATTGGCCTGACGGGGTCCATCATAAAAATGACGAGACGCAATCTGAAATTTGACGCGAGCTCCCACTGCAAACATCCCACGAAAACTGGACCGTCAAAATCCAGGACGCGCCCGTCAGCAAACCCGAGTTCCGGCTTACCCGAGTCTTGCGTTTCCCCGAGTCTGGGCCGCCGCCGCCGCGCGGGGCGAACAGCGCCTCGATGGTCTCGAGCTCGAGCGCCGGCCTGTGCCCGGAGCTCTTGGCGTGCTCCTGCCGCCGCTCGCCCTCCTCGAGGAGAGGAAAAGCGCCAGCAGCACGAGTTTGCTGGCGCTCCGCTCGCGGATGGCCAGGACCCCGTCTGGTAAAACGTGGCTTGGTGCAGACGACCTCGGGCCCAAACCTGGCTGGCGCAAGCCTGGAAAATGACGGCCGCGGCGGCCGCCCGAGCACCGCAAACGAACTATTCACCAATCGACGTGTCCAGGGGGGGGGCTCTGTCCACCTCCGATCCGCGCGGACTTCTTGGATCCGCGCTGGACCCCCCCTCCCTGGCGAGCGGAGCGCGCCAGCAGCGGTGCCTTTGGCGCCGCTGCTGGCGCAGATTCCAGAAATCCGCGCGGAACGCCGAACATCTATGCTCACTGCGTTTTCCCTTCTCCGACTCCTCTGAAGGGGCCCTGGGACACACAAATAAATAAAACACAAATTACCCTGTGACGTACCCAACCCATTTGTATCAATGGAAACGAGGAGTTGGCCAAAACTTGTATGGACAATCAACTTGATGTGTAAGCTACTTGGGAGGCGTCACTGTGCTGGGCCCCGCAAGCAGGCCTCGAAAGTGGCGACAGTTTCACAGATCGCAGCCCCCCAGGGATGGCGAGGTCTAATTTGAATCTGCGTGTGGCGTCACTGTGCTGGGCCCCCCAGCAGGCCTCGAAAGTGGCGACAGTTACACAGATCGCAGCCCCCCAGGGATGGCGAGGTCAAATTTGAATCGCGTGTGGGTACCCACTGTGCTGGGCCCCCCAGCAGCCCTCGAAAGTGGCAACAGTTTCACAGATCGCAGCCCCCCAGGGATGGCGAGGTCCATTTGAGTCTGCGGTGGTACCCACTGTGCTGGGCCCCCCAGCAGCCCTCGAAAGTGGCGACAGTTTCACAGATCGCAGCCCCCCCACAGATCCCAGGGATGGCGAGGTCTAATTTGAGTCCGCGGTGAGTACCCACTGTGCTGGGCCCCCCAGCAGGCCTCGAAAGTGGCGACAGTTTCACAGATCGCAGCCCCCCAGGGATGGCGAGGTCTAATTTGAGTCTGCGGTGAGTACCCACTGTGCTGGGCCCCCCAGCAGGCCTCGAAAGTGGCGACAGTTTCACAGATCGCAGCCCCCCAGGGATGGCGAGGTCTAATTTGAGTCTGCGGTGGGTACCCACTGTGCTGGGCCCCCCAGCAGCCCTCGAAAGTGGCGACAGTTTCACAGATCGCAGCCCCCCAGGGATGGCGAGGTCTAATTTGAGTCTGCGTGAGTACCCACTGTGCTGGGCCCCCCAGCAGGCCTCGAAAGTGGCGACAGTTTCACAGATCGCAGCCCCCCAGGGATGGCGAGGTCTAATTTGAATCCCCGTGGGCCACTGTGCTGGGCCCCCCAGCAGGCCTCGAAAGTGGCGACAGTTTCACAGATCGCAGCCCCCCAGGGATGGCGAGGTCCATTTGAATCCCCGTGGGCCACTGTGCTGGGCCCCCCAGCAGCCTCGAAAGTGGCGACAGTTTCACAGATCGCAGCCCCCCAGGGATGGCGAGGTCTAATTTGAATCTGCGGTGGGTCACTGTGCTGGGCCCCCCAGCAGGCCTCGAAAGTGGCGACAGTTTCACAGATCGCAGCCCCCCAGGGATGGCGAGGTCCATTTGAGTCCGCGGTGAGTACCCACTGTGCTGGGCCCCCCAGCAGGCCTCGAAAGTGGCGACAGTTTCACAGATCGCAGCCCCCCAGCTGGCACGCAGCGACGAGCGAGGTAAAAGGCAGGGGGGAAGAGAGGGACGGGAAGGAGACGCGCGAGCAGTGCTCTGTTCAAAACGAGAACCCAACGCAGGAGGGTTGGGAGTAAAAGGAGCCCCCTATATTTTCCCATATTTTCTGGGTTTCTGTCTTCCCCCCCGATTCCCACATGTTCCCATCTTTTCCTGGGAGTCGACGATCCTCGCGCATCTTCTCCACGACCGTGAGGAGCTCGTCGTCGCCAAACCCGTCGGCTGTCGGAGCAGGGCGCATCGAGACCACGGCGGCTCAAAAGCGGCCCCCGGACCCCTCCCCGGACCCCGGCGGGAAAGCCCCTTCGGTCATTTCTGGCGTTCTGCATGGTCTCGCGATGGCTCTATCCTCTTCAGGGAACGTCTTTTTATTCGACGGTGATGGCGGGCGTTGCTGGGGGCAGGGAGAGGGGGCCAGTAGCATCACCGTCCGCGCTGGCGCCGTATGGGAATGTTTCGGAACAGCCAACAAAAGATGGCGGAGGTCTGCACGGATCGAGTCCACGCGCACCGGCGTGCCGAGCTGCGTCCGGCCGAGGCGACGAGGGAGACCCCAGAAGTCGAGCACGGGATCGAGTACAGCAGAATTCATTCACCCAAACAGTGACTTGCTCGCCGAATCTACGGAAAAACCAAATAAAACGCACAATGTCCGTATAACAAATTACGAACATGATACGTGTTTGTGTTGTAGGTTCGGCGAGAAAAAACAATGCTGGGATCAATCAATGTTGCCGTCGAACCACTACTCGAAGCAGGCCAACGGCCGCGGCCTCCACGGGCCCTCCTCGGAGTCTGCGCCATTGAGCTCGTCGTCCAGGTCGACTTCGAAGAACGCGCGACGCCGTGCGCGCGGCACGGGAGACCGCGCGCCGTGGCGGCGCACCTGCTGAGGGGCAACGATAGGGGGAGACTGACATCGGCGGTGCAACGACCTGACATCGGGAGGGGTCGCATCGACCTGAAACCGGCGATGCATCGCCGAGAGGTCGATGCGACAGGCCCCCGATGGCGAGCTCGCACCTCCTCTGGGCGGGCTGGGGGGCCAATCGGGCCCCTGATCGGCGATCCATGAGCGATCGGGGGTCGATGCGGGACGGGAAAATGACCACAGCCACTGCTTCTTGTTTGCGCCGCCTTCCAGCCGGCCGAAAAAGAAGCAGTGGTTGTGGTCGTTTCCCTGGTGCCAGGCTCCACGAGAATGACCACACCCACTGCTTTGTTTCTGCGGGCTGGAAGGCGGCAACAAAAGAAAAGCAGTGGCCGTGCTCGTTTCCGCGCCCCGTCGTCGATGCGCCCCCTCCTGTGCCCAGCCCCCCCTGCCGTTGCTGGAGGGGCCCCAGGACACACAAATAAATACACACAAATAAACATATTCCCCATATTTTCCCATATTTTCTAAGTTTTTGTCTTCCCCCCCACTTCCCATATTTTCCCATATTTGCCTGGGAATCGACGATTACTTGTGTCTGTGTGTTTTATCCTCTCCTGAGTTGCCCCCGAGCCTGCCGCCGCGGCGGCGCCCCGGCCCCGCACGCCGCCGGCGCGCGCAGCGCGGCCAGGCGCTCGGCGCCGGGCCGCCGCCCCAGCGGCGCGGC